TTGGAGTGCGGCCATTTCTGGATTCAGTTATTTTTGCATGACTTGAAGCCAGACTTGGGCATTTTATGTCCCACGACCCATATCCAGCCCTTGGTCTGCAGCACGCGGCCTGCACTCCATTACGACCAGCTGACAGTGGATCCACCAGACTCCAAGGCAAGTGCATGCGATGCGAGCCATTGCCCGGCACAGGTCAGCAAATGAATCCATGTCTGGACCACATTTCTCATCTGTCCTTGGTTGCTAGGACCACTGGCGTCCTAGCAACCAATTATGTGAGGGCTCCTCCTCTGCAGTCATTGGTTGCTAGGATCCACCGGGCATTCCTAGCAACCAATGACATTAGGGGTCGTCCCCTTTTGTGAGCATTACTGTCCTCCTTTATCTCCCCACCATGTAGAACCAGTCACCAAAGTCTCAGGTGTGAATGGGGGCTTACTGCATATCGCCTATAAGGCACTAAGAAGCAGGTCCTCCTTCAGGTTGAGTGATACCCAACACCATTCAACCAACTCTGTGAGCGCCGATCTGTGCAGCAGTAGGGACCACCCACTGCCAACGCCAAACATGAAGAAGGACCCTGCTTGTCATGTGACCAGCCAGAACCCGGCTCTATGTATGTACATAGGGAATTAAAAATACAAATTGTGCGAGGGAGGATTTTCATGCTGCAAATGCCAGGCAGTGATACTAATACTCTGTAGTACCTTACCCCCCTCCCAAAAAACGAAATATATATATATATATATATATATAACACACACATTTTAATATTAAGAAGAATTACATTCTGGCCTTCCTTATATACCAACTTGTGCTAGGTCAGCAACTTACATTTTCAGACAGTCAACAATGGCCGCCCCAGCTATTAGGAAAGCTCCACTTTAAATGGCATCTATGGTCAAAAACTAAAAACAAATCTGTATTTCTATATTAAATTTCCATAGGTTCTATCCCACTCCTAATAACCAGATCCATCTAGGAGGTTTGTAAGTTTACTTTTGAAGATGCTCATAGGATGGACTTCCTCAATGCACAATTTCACTCAGCCCTGTGAATATGTACTTCCTTGTGTCACAGCTCTCAGAGAGCCTGCCTTCTGAACTGCAACTCAAGGTCTGAACAATGTAACATTATCATTTCTTGCTGGGAGCAATGCATGATGGGATATGTAGTCATGAGAAATGGAGATTGCGTCACATCAAGCAGCAGGGAAAGAGACATAAAGCACACTGGAAATCCAGGAAGTTGGTGGAAGTGATGGGCAGGCGGAAGGCAGCACTCACTACATAAAAAGGACATTTTTCAAGTAAGCTTTGATTGCATTATCAAAAACAACTCTAGTATGTAGTCCTATTACATTGCTGGTGTTATATAAGGATAGGATATGCTGGGACTTCAGAACTCCTTTAAATCACAGCTATGATATGAATAAATCACCAAATAGATTTCTATAAAAAGTATCAGTTACAAGCAGTCTCTGTATGAAGAAAACATGATCTTAACATGTAAATCCCTCTTTTTCAATGAGTTAAAATAATCTGCAGATAATCAGAACTCCAATGGAAGCAGACGCTCAGAATGAAGTAGTGTGTCACTAGGCAATACATAAGAGGGGTCTACATATAAAGCAGTGAATGTGACTTTCAGCAAACATTCTCTGGTGGAGAATCTGCCAGATCTATGTGTTTTACATGGCAGTGATTCATTCTCCACCGGCAAATGTCTGGTGAAAAAAAAATCACATCCCCTGCTTTATAGACTCTGTGAATTCCAATACCAGGTACATATTCCCAAATTTTAAGACAGGGACATCTGGTGACTGTGCTGCATTGCTCACAAAAGTCACCCTTGGCTTCTGAAGTCTTTTTAGTTCCTTTCTTCACAGAACAGAAACACTTGCAAGCGTTCCAAGTAGCAGCCAGCTCCTCCTGATTTACAGATAAGCGCACAGAAGTTGTAGAGAAGTACAAAACAATGCAGAACAACAGATAGAGCACTCGGGGCCCATATACGGGCCCTTATCAGACCCATCTCCTGCCACCATGGGACTTACATCAAAGTGAAGATATGCGAGTCAAGTGTCTGATCTGATCAAAGCACAATACAAAATATGAGGGAAAGCACAAAAACAAAATGTTTTATATATTCTATTCATCAATAAGTCATGAAAAAAAAACTCCATGGGGGAGATCACAGATATATTATCCCCATAATGTGTATTCAAGCCCAATAGATGATTTTCAGATTTGACTAGAGTAGGGAAGGGTTAGAAACTCCCCTCAAATTTCCAGTGCTGTCTGTGTCCCCGCTGGGGAGAGTCATCCTCTCGAATGGTCCTGGTGACACAAAAGTGAGGAAAAAGCAAACCAGAAACATTGAGGGCTTGTTCACACCAAATGCGGACCAGATCTGCATTAGTTTCTGCACATGCAGTGCAGTGTTGTTTGCCAAGTTCCGGGCCGTTTAAATTTTTTTTTTTTAAATAGTCTTTCAGTGCGTTCCAGGGCGTATGCATGCTTTTTTGATGCGTTTTGGGGCGTTTCAGAACAGAAAAAATAAGGCATGCTGCAGTTTTTCCGCATGCTCTGGAACTAAACGCTCTGGTGTGAACTAGAGCCACAAATGCCATCAGAATACATTGGACGCAGTTTTGATGCATTCTGTAACTGCTCCGCACTTGGTGTGAACTAGCCCTTATAGAGTGGAAATCTGCAAATAGGGACACGTAACTATGTGACAATCCAAGGAGATTTTCCTCACTTTGGAGACATTTCCTCTTGCTTTCTTTTGTGTACACTGGACAGTAAGTAAGGAGAAATCTTCACAATGGGACACAGATGGCAAAAATAAATAAATAAATAAGCAGTAGCCCTTCACTATCCAAAAATATCATTTGTTGACTTTACACATATTTTATTGGGTGAACGCATAACTTGTACAGTATAGAGAGCGGCATGATTCTCTTTCCCCCCCATTTACAATATATCTATACATGGAGAAACACAATACTATAGAAGATAGAAAGACAATGCAATACTATAGAATATATAGACACAACACTATAACAAATATACAAAAACACAATGTTTTAGAAAGTATACAAAACAAGCACTATAGTAAATATATAAACAGTACACAATACCAACAGGGTTATTCACAAAAGGGTGAAGAGTTAGGAGAAGGCCGGAGAAGTGAACAATCTGGGACAACATAGCTGGACTGGAAAGTGAGCAGAACGGGAGAATTTGTCCAAATCAGCTATGTTGTCCTAGATTGGTCACTTCTCCTGCCTTCTCCAAACTCTTCACCCTTTTGTAAATAGACCTGTAAGTATACAAACAAGACTACACTATACCAAATATACAAAACAATACAATAATATAGAAACAACGCTATGTTATAGAAAATCCACAAAACAAACAAACACTATTACTATAGTAAATATACAAACAACATGATACAATAGTAAATAAAGAAACAACACTACACTATGCCAAATATAGGAAACAACACAATACTATAGTAAATATACACAACACCATGATACTATGGCAGATATAGAAACACAATAGTTTCCACCTGCTGGCTGATACAGTGCAGACAATGCAGAGCCGTCACACTTGTCTGTACTGAGCGGGGTCGGGGGGGAGTACATACAGCAAAGTCTGGGGGGTGTTCTAGTGCCTGGCAGAGGCCATGCTAGGAGTTGTCCTCCATGGTCCTCCTGATCATCAGGAGACAGATCACTGACAGTGAAGGATGTTACATATGAAGAAGAGTCTGGAGATATAAACGATTGGACAATGGCAGGATCGTGGGACCAGACAACCACGTATAATGACCGATGATCCGTATTTATTATCGTCCCGGGTACAGAAATGTGTTCAGTGATGACTAGGATGTCACTCTCCCCCAGGGAATAGTCTCCATCACATTATTATAATCACAGGTCACATCTGATGTCTGGGACAATGTTTCCAGGCCGTGCTGTACCCATGTAGGCTGACCTCAGGATTCGGCCGCAGGTCTTCTCTTATGTTGGGATTATAAATCATCTGACACCCGGTGTGCAGGTATTACACCTTCTAACTCAAAGACTTTGTCGCTCTGACACATGAAGGGGGGGGACGACACAAGCCACGGACAGTCCACATCCACAGTATCAGATTGAATCACACATGTAGTGGAGGTCCATTACTGAGATCTGCTGGCACCATATACGTTACGACCTCTGTACTATAACTTCAGATATACCAGAATTATTGAATATGATGACCTACCAACCAACCAGTCTGTAACCAATCAGACAAGCCCTTTGCACTACTCAGATCTAAAAGAGAGTGTACGATCAGATTGCAATGTGTGTGCTGAGGTTCAGTAATATAAGGGCCTGCTATATCCAATGTGTATCCACTCCAGCTGGCCCTTAAAGAAGATTGTACTTTAAGACTGGTCATACACTATGCAATCTGATGAGTTACAAAAACTATGTACTGAGGACAAACCTTAATAAATAATTCAATTTGAATGCAATCAGGCAGCCCCCCTGCATTACATAGCTGATTGTACAATATCCTTTAGATCTACTATCAGATTGTAAGGTGTGTGGTCAGCTGAAGATCTGATCATGCAATGCCACCACGGACAGCATGAAAAATACACACGAATATGATACATGAATCCATAGAAAATGATGATCATTCACTTCCAGTGACAGAGCATGGATCGTACGATGTCTGGACATACACACCACACAGGCTGGTCGTACTGAATGAATCGCAGCGTACGATGCAGCCATACACACAGACTATCGCCCTATTCCATCTCCATGAAGATGAATGGCAATGCCGATGTGCGGACCTGTAATCGCCATAGACATGCACGATGTCTGCAATTCCAATGGAGAGCCACAGGTTGCCGCAGCCCGCTCAGGAGGACTAATCCCTGCGAGAACCGGACCGTGCACATTCATTCACCGCACACAGACAGCCGCCCACCTTGTCCAGCCGGCCCCGATCTTCCTGCACTAGATCTCCGGGATGACAGCCACAGCCTGCCCGTCTGCCATCAGAGCGGCCGCCCGCAGCACTGCAAGAGCTGCCAGAGCAGCGGGACAGCTCAGGGGGCTCAGCGACGTCTCCTAGGAGATAGACCCCGCCCACCGCACACGCCTCCGCCTTTCTCCCCGGGTCCCCCTGTCATGTGACCAGCTCGCGGCTAGTATAGAAGGGGCGTGGCTCTGGAGGAGAGTAGAGGATCGCAGGTCGGTGTAGGTGACTTTGCCATGGAAGGGGGTCATTGGTGCTCTGCTGCCGGTCATGTACACTGAGGGCGTTAGATATTATAGAAATACAAAAGAAAACCTCCACCAGTCCTTGTCATATGGACGCTTCACTCTCATGGGTCCTCAGTATGTCTTTTCGAGTCACACTTTGGCTGCGCGTTCTTCAAAATGCATTACCGATCCTATCTAAGGGCTAGTTCACACCAAACGCGTTCCAGATGCGGAGCAGTTACAGAACGGATCAAAACTGCGTCCAATGTATTCCAATGGTATTTTGGGCTCTAGCTCACACCGCAGCGTTCAGTTCCAGAGCATGTAAAAAAAACTGCAGCATGCCCTAACTTTTCTGCTCTGGAATGCACCAAAATGCATGCATCAAAAACACATGCAAACGCCCTGGAATGCACTGAAAGGCCATTTTAGGCTGAAAGAAAAAAAAAAACCTGCCCGAAACACAGCAAAACACACTGCACGACATGTGCAGAAACTCATGCAGTTCAGGTTTTTTTAACTTAAAATGGTCTTACAGGTGCGTTCCATGCGATTTGAGGCATTTTTGATACGTAGAAAAAATAGGACAAGCAGTATTTTTCTGGTCTGGTCTGGAACGGACTGCGCTGGTGGGAACAGAGGCCAAAAATAGCATAGGGATACATTGTGATGCATTTTGGGTCTGGAAACATTCTGGTCTGGAGGTAATCTGGATGTGGTGTGAATGGGCCCTTATGGAGGAATCTTCAGTGCTGGCCATTGTATTCAGCCGCGGCACCCACAGCTGTTAGAACACATAAACAGAGACTGATCTGATTGGACGCAGTCACTTTGCAGCCAATCATTTTCCATCCGGCTCAATCGACTTTTGTGCTTTCAGGGTCACCCACACAGGTGTGTCCCCGGTCTATCCCCGAACAGGGGTGTCCCTGGTCTTTTCCCACACAGGTGTGTCCCCGGTCTATACCCACACAGGGGTGTCCCTGGTCTATCCCCACACAGGGGTGTCCTTGTCTATTACCGCACAGGGGTGTCCCCGGTCTATTCTCGCACAGGGGTGTCCCTGGTCTATTCCCGTGCAGGGGTGTCCCTGGTCTATCCCCACACAGGGGTGTCCCCGGTCTATCCCCACACAGGGGTGTCCCTGGTCTATTCCCGCACAGGGGTGTCCCTGGTCTATCCCCACACAGGGGTGTCCCTGGTCTATTCCCGCGCAGGTGTGTCCCTGGTCTATTCCCGCACAGGGGTGTCCCTGGCCTATGCCTCTTGTCTGTTCTCGCACAGCGGTGCCCCTGGTTCATTCTTGCACAGGGGTGTCACTGGTCTATTCCCGCATGGGGCTTTCCCTGGCCTATTCCCGCACAGGGGTGTCCCTGGCCTATTCCTGCTGGAGCTGGAGAGCAAAGGAAAAATGGTGGACCAGTTGTGTGACCCAGAGAGATTCAAAAGTATGGTTCAACAGTGCCCTGAGCTATATGACAGCAGACACTTTCAATATAAGAACAATAGAAAGAAGGCTGTGGCCCCATCCCCCCCACCACTCCTCCTTATCACACTGCCTGTTTGCTCACTGACACCTGCAGCTGCTTTTCATGCAAAAAAAACACATCAAAAACGCATCATGCGTGTGCAGAAACCTGACCGGATCTGCTCCGCGCTTGGTGTGAACAAGGCCTAATAGTTGAAGTACTTGAATGCATTTTTAAATGTAACTCTTTAGTGTCACTTTAACCTCCCTGGCGGTATGATTTTTAAATTTTTTCATGTCATTTTTCGGTCTATTTTTTTTTCGAATGTTTTTCGTCTTTGTCGTTTTTTTTAATTATTTTTTTTAAATATCCCGCCGGTTCCGCCCCCCTGCGACGCGTACGCTCGCAAGCGACGGAAGCCGGCATCGGCCGCAGAACACAGCGCGGCTCGAGGGACAAGGTAAGTAAATGCTATGCAGCTTTCCCGAGTGTAGCTCGGGGTTAGCGCTTATGGTATGGAAAAGTAACCCCGAGCTACACTCGGGAATACTGCCAGGGAGGTTAAAACCCTTATTTTCTTTTTGCAAATTTTTCTTTACCAGGTTCTGTGCTTGTGACTCACCCTTGCCATCAAAATCATGTCATCAACTGCTCTGCATCATCATCCTTCAATAAAGGGTTAGGTTAATGTTTTGTTTTTTTGTTTTTTTAATCCAATAACAATAAAGCCTTTAATGTACATTGAGATTCCACCTTCCTATTTTAAAAATGATGCTTACTTTTAGTAATGCTGCTCTTGTGGGCTCCCCCTCTATGTCCTGACTACATGGCAGGATGGACCGACCCTTGGATGCGTGGCCCAGCTCCTCATGAACAAGCACTATGCGTAGGAGAACTCAGTTTGCCAAAAACTGCACATTCGCAGTCCGCTCTCTCTCACAGCGGCGGCTAACTCATCGTTCTGCAAGTGAGAGACAAAGTGGACTGCACATGCGTGGATAGGCAAACTGACAAGGCTATTCACAAAAGGGTGAGGAGTTTGGAGAAGGCAGGAGAAGTGAACAATCTAGGACAACATAACTGAACTGGAAAGTGAGCTGAATTGGAGAATTTTTACAAATCGGTTATTTTGTCCTAGATTGTTCCCTTCTCCTGCCTTCTCCAAACTCTTCACCCTTTAGGGCCTGTTCACACGATGTCCGTTTTGTGTGCTGACCGGCTCCGTACGCTGCTGCACTCAAAATGCATCCCAATGTATCCCTATGTGTTTTATGGGCTCCAGTTCTCACGTGCGCAGTCCGTTCAGCTTACGACAGAAAAAATACTGCATGTCACATTTTGTCAGGTCCGCAAACGCGTCAAAAACGCATCAAAAACGCACTGCGCTGCAGCTAACATACTAACAGCCCAACTCCAGCAAAAAAAAAAATTTTTTTTTTTTGCTGGAACGCATCCAAAACGCAGCCAAAAATGCAATGCATCAGCAGCTCCACGTCTGCTGATCAGGACCTGATCTCATGTGAACAGGCCCTTAGTGAATAACCCTGTGAGTTCTCCTAGCTGAGTGCTCGTTCATGAGGAGCTGGGGCCATGCATCCAACAGTTGGTCCCTCCTGCCATGTAGCCAGAATGGAGAGTGGGAGTCCACAAGAACAGCATTATGCAAAGTAAAAATAATGTTTAAAATGGGAAGGCAGCATTTGAATATACAATACATTGTATATTAATGTTAATAATGTTAGAAAAATTAAAGGTAAACTAACCCTTTAACTAAAACCCCAGTTTTGGTTCAAGTTATGGTCTTAAAGGAGAACTATTGGGTTAGGGCTTTTCCCCTTAGGGTCACAAACTAGCATCCTCCCGTCACCCTAAGCTCAGTATACCGCGAGCTACAGCTCGCGGTATACTGAGACGCCGCAGCCGGAGCGGATCCCGACGTAGATGTCGGGATCCGCCCAGCTGCGTGAGTGACAGCTGGCTCTGCCTATCTAGAGGCATAGCCAGCTGTACCCGCCCCCTCCCCCATCCATTCCGCCAGTCAGCGCTGGAGGAGCGGAGAGGGGGGAATCCAGCCCCTCCCCCTGTCACGACAGAGAGCCGTGACAGGATCGAGAGGTGAGCGAACGCCGGTATGTGTTCGCTCACTTCCCGATCTACTGAGCCGACCTGTGACAGTCTCATTGTCACAGGTCGGCTAGAACTATGAGGTGAGTGAAAAGCAGTTCTCCTTTAATCATTGTTATTAGTATTAATAATTATTATTAGTAATAGTATTATCATCATATGCACATACAGTATACTATATTTATAAATATTTTAAATAGTACTGTAAGTATATATTTCTTCAAAGACAGCTATTTTACATATCTTTTAGCACATGGCGTTCTGGGTGAATTGATGGCAACACTGAGAGTGAGATTTGAAAGCTATTAGTCTGAAAAGCTATCAGTATCCTCCAGTGCTGGTGTTTACATGAGAGAAGTGCTAGTTTGCATTACCAGTGACCTGTAGATAGCAGTTTTCTAAATTAGGTGTGAAGTAATGTCCCGCTTTGACAGACTTCATTATGCCTTACTATTTGCTCTTTCAAATCTTTTTTTTTCCGCCGCAGTGAAATAAATATTTAGCTTTAATGATAATAATTACTGTACACAGTGAAAATCTATATGCACTTTATACAGAGTGCAGAGTCTGAGAGGAAGCAATTGTACCACAGGCTTCCAGCTATTATATCCAGAAAATTATAGATATGGAAAACTGGCCAAACGCAATGTACTAACTTCATAAACAATCGCCAGTTTGCTTGTTTGTTTTTTTTAACCTGTTTTTCATCTTTGGTTGCATTTTAGTGTGTCTGATCTGCAGCCTCCTGGCAGGGAGTTCCTGTCTACATGTCTCCATGAGGGTTTTCTAATCGTAACAATATTTGACCTGCTTAAAACAGCCACTTGTGCTTTCATAAGAAGCTTTTAAGACAGGGTGACAATACAGGAGCACAATTAGAGAAAGGGACACCCTGAACTTTAGCCACATTTATTCATTAGGACTTAGCTGTCTACAGTATTTCCATCTTTAACTGCAATGGTATATCTGCTGAGAGAGAGAATTTCCCAGGCAAAGCATTTCCTTAGCACTTGTCACTCCTAATAAGACATCCATAGAGAGATAAAATTAGCTTTAAAAATTGTAAAATACCATAAATCCAATCTCAGGATCTGAAATACTTAGGTATCTACTGGACAGCCCTCCTTACCATCTTGTCTTGAATTGTATTGTGATTGTAATGTCTTCCTTATATTGTAAAGCTCTGCGCAAACTGTTGGCGGTATATAAATCCTGTATAATAATAATACTCTCCCCTATCACTTATGATCTTTCTAGTTGGCGTACCACCTATAATGCATTGCTTGCTAGGGTGAACATCATAAAAATGA